AAACAGTCTCACAGTCTACTACGCTTTATTTCTTGAACATATCTTGAAGTGGACCTGGGAGGTATTTAATAACTGTGTCTAGAATACTTTCTTCCTCTTCCTCTTCCTCATCCCCACAGCCGGCAGGGATGGCCTTTTTTGGACGTGTCAAGCTCCCTTCAGATGTAGCTTCCATAGCAGCTTGTGCCTCAGCTTCTTTCTCTTCTTTCTTCTTAATACCATACTGTAAAAAAAACAACAATATTATTATTCCAGTAAAATAACATAAAAGCAGGCAGTGTTGTTCAGTTCATAAGAGGCTTAAGCTACCTTCCAATGGAGTATTCCCAGTTTTACCCAGGGCTGCTTTCAGCAACTATAGGGTTAATATTCTACCACTAAGCCCCATAGCAAGTGGAAAAAAATTACCATAAATATCCTGTATAATCCAGTAATAATGCTACCAGTGAGCATCATGACTTGGATAGGGGATCATTTTTCTTGTTTTAAGTACTGGCTTTCAAATGGTCCACCATTGTCCAATTGTCCATGGTCACCTTGAACCAGCTGTGAGGAGCTCTATCTCCACTACTTACTCCATGTAATGATCAACTTCCATGTATCCACAATCAGTTCAATAGAGACATTATTAATGGACATACGTATATGCAGACTAATATATCCTTTACCACACAGATGCCAGAAAAATTCCACCCAATAAACTCATTTGTGAATGAGCATATATTTGCCAGGTTTTATGTTTTGGTTGGAAAATGTTAGTTAAGGTGTATAGACTATAGAGACTATAGAGGCAGTAAATGAGACTTAAACAAACCCCTTACTGGCCTCTTTAGCTGCAGACACTGTTAAAAAAAATTCATCTCCAAAGATCACATCAGAAGTACTGAAATCTTAGCTCCTCTATCCTTATTTTCTGTCCCTGTAGTAGCTTAGAAACATGCCAGCCTTCTAATGTAGAAAAACAGCAGATGCTATAAGCCAGCGGTGGTCATCTTTGAAATTATAGAGGGCCTTAAGTACAGTCTCCTATGCTCCCAGGGGGCCGAACAGTATATCAAATTAGGCAGCAAATGGGCTATAGCGCACCACAATGCAGTTCTTTGGCATTTTTTTGCAGCATTTTGCAATACGCACTAAAGAAGTTGGAGTAAAATAACTCCAGCACTGGTGTCAGTGGCAGTAATAATAACCTCCAGATATGATGCCAGTGAGTGCAATAATAGCCCTCAACAGTACTGTCAGTGGACACAAAAAGAACCCCCTACATTTGTGTCAATGAGTGCAATAGTAGCCTCCAGCATTGGTATCAGTGGAGGCAATCTTAACCCCAAAATTGGTGTCAGTGAGTGAAACAATAACGCTCAACATTGGTGTCAGTGGACATAATAACCACCAATATTGATGTCAATGGACTCAATAATAGTGCCCAGCACTGGTGTCAGTACTATTAGTACTAGTATTAGAACACCAGTAATAGTATTAATATTATGAAAGCTAACCCCCTAGAAGTGCAAAATGAAAACATTTGTTATGTTTCGTTTTGATGCGTTATTTGATTGATTTTGTTTCATTCGATTAGTTAAATTCATTTAATTTGTTTTGTTTATTTGAACTTGACCAAATTCAAAATTTCAAATGGATTAGAAAATAATTTAACGGATTCAACAATAATTCTAATGGATTCAAAAACAATTCTAACAGATTTGAAAATAATTCTAATGGATTCGATAATATCTCTAACAATAAAATTCATAATCCACAATCCATGTGTGTTTTTGATGGTATATAGGCTATATGAAGAGTTGTGTGAAATTTCTATTTCAGCAAAATATTCACAGTGCCATTGCTGATCACCACTCACGTCACCATAGCGCAGCTCACAATTTTTTGTAAAGTATTTTAGCCTTTTCTAGTCTATTCTATTTCTTCCAATCATTTTATATTTTAATCTAATGTATTCTGTTCAAATTCGAATTCATTTTATTCAAAATTTGAATTTCAGAAGGCATTTACATTCTTTCTATTTAATTCTATTCTTTTTCTATACTATTTTATTTTATTCTTTGATTCTCTATCCTAATTTTTTCTATTCTATTCTTTGATTTTCTATTTTATTTAAATTTTTTTCTTTTCTATTCCTTTATTTTCTGTTCTATTTTGCTCTGTTTTACTCTACTATTTTCTATTCTATGCTTTGATTTTCTATTCTAATCTTTTCTATCCTATTCTGGCTGATTCTATTCTTTGATTTTCTATTTTAATCTTTTCTACTCTATTCTAATGGTTTCTATTCTTTTCCTTTATTTTCTATTCTATTTTGTTCTGTTTTACTCTATTATTTTCTATTCCGTTCATTTTTCATCTATTATTTTCTATTCTATACTTCTACTTTCTATTCTATTTTATTATTTTCTATTTCTTTATTTTTCTGTTCTATTTTATTCTATTCTTGTTTTCAAATTCAAATTGGTTTTCAAATTTGTTTTCGAATTTGAATTTGTTTTTGAATGTGTTTTTGAATTCGAATTTCAGCTGAATTTAATTTTGTTATTTCAGATTCGTTTAAATATGTTACTATTGTAATTCGGATACATCCGAATCTCTGAATAATGGAAAATTGTTACGAATTTCAATTCGGAACAAAACGTACTGCACATGTCAAAACCCCCCCATCCCACCTCCTGCATTGGTGACCACAACAGTGAAAGTAACCTCCCCATCCTACCTCTTGATCATGGCAGTGACAATCACTTCCCATTGGTGATCACTTACCTGATCTCATTCTATCAAGCCACTCTCTCTCCCTGGGCCAGGACTTTACTTGTACTGTGGGTAGAGATGACTCTGCTCACAGGACAGTCTCGTTCTTTCAGTGCTGGCTGCTGGAACACAGACAGCATTTCAGCACCTGTCACCCTGTATGCAGAAAGCCAGCAGGTTGCATGTTGGGCACCATGGCTGTCAACTGTAAAATTCTGACTGAAACTTACTTCAGAGTCTCTATTGTGATCTTTGAGAATTAATACTTTTACAATATAGGCAGCTAAAAAGGTCAGGAATGCCTTGTTTTAAAAACACATTACTGCTGGTTACAAATATGTAAATAGTTTACAGTTCATAGACAGGGCCCAGGTATAGTTTAACACCTCATAGGTAACTTTTAGTTATACAAACAAAATTACTAACAAGAAATAAATAAGAAGACCCAACATTTTCTAAGAAGCGAATGCCACATTTCAGCATATTCAACTAACAGGTAAGAATCAATGGTTAGTATTGCAAACCATCTGTTAATTCCCTGTAGACACCAATCATATTTTTTTTACATTGAGTAATAAATAATAAATTGTGCTGGATAGTAACAGATGGTGAATGAAGGTCTGATTGCTCTCAATGGTGCAATAATAACAAATTACAGTTGCCCAAAAAAAAAATATGCACACAGTCACTGCTGATCGCTCATTCTAAAAATACTGTTTGTCTAGCATGCCAATGCTCTGACTTTCGGAATCCCTGCATGAATCATGCATACCAGGAATGTAGTTTGGACTTCACTTAGACAGCGGATAGAACAAAAACAATTAACTTGATTTCGCCATCCACACATTCAAGGTGGATAAGGGAGCCCTTCCCGCTGAGCTATTGTACTTTTTTCAGTGGGGAGATTTTCCCACTGTCAAAATACACTGATCCATTTTGTAGGCTATAGCCTGCAGTGCTGATTGAGCTGGAAAAATCAGACAGGGCAGTTGTACAGACTTTGATCGGTAGATTGACTTCTGTACAACCTCCCTGTCCATACATGGTTTAAAATTAGGCTGGTCATACATGGATCAAAATTCAGCCGGTTCAACAAGAACTGGGTGAATTTCAATTCATCTATGGCCATTTCCGCTACAGAAGTTGATTTATTGATTGGCTTGTCTCGAGTGGAAAGTTTGGAAAATTATTGTTTGATCAGTACTGCGATCAGTGTATTCTGACAGTGGAGGTCAGAATACAATAACACAGCAGAGAGGATTCCCGCATTCACCTTTATCCAACTTTTACTGCATACAGCACTTTCCACGTATTCAAATCAGAAAATCAGTATGGATGCTAGACACATGGAGGTAGATTTACTAAAACTGGAGAGTGCAAAATCTGCTGCAGCTGTGCATGGTAGCCAATCAGATTCTAACTTCAGCTTGTTCAGTTAAGCTTTGACAATAAACCTGGAAGCCAATGGGTTTCTATGCAGAGCTGCACCAGATTTTGCACTTTCCAGTTTCAGTAAATCAACCCAATTCAAATTCACCAGTGGCAGTCTAGATTTTCTATAATACTGACTGGCACATTGCTACTATGGTTATATTGTAGTAAGAAGACAAAAAAAGTCAGACAGTAAAGACAAAATTATTTTTTAAGATTTTAGCCATCCAAATAATTTGAATATATCTACTAAAAAGAATATATTGAAATTGGAGTCTGGGTTCTGTTACAGCATTCCATTAGAACTGCATGAGTGTCAGATTCACTTACATTGATTCAGAACAGGTAGTGGATAAACTGAAGGTAAAAGTAGTTTACTGCTGTGTAAATCTGCCTCTACTGAAACACGCTAATCAAATGTTTTTATCATCTCATTCCACTTGGTGACAAATATCACAGCAATAGAGGAAGAGAAGCCACTAGCAGTGTTTTGTCTTCACAAATTTACTTTGGGTACATGAATGCATTCTTTAGTCAGTACATTAGTGTGGCTGGTTAGGTTTAGAAGGATCTAGTTTTTATTTTGGATCTCCATGATGAGTTCTAACTGCTATCGATTCTTGCTTTGTGTAATATGTAATACACCTTAGGGTTCATGTAGACAGGCATTCTTGCCAAACAGCCTTTTCCATTAAACAGAGTGCTGCTAAAATGCATGCATTTTAACCACCTCCCGCCTGCCATATAGTCCAATGACGGGCGCAAGGTGGTTCTCTCTTTCTGATAGGCTGTCTTTTGATGGCATTCCAATGTCACTGCGCATGCACGGAAGCGCGTGGCGATCAGCGGTGCTCTGTGTCCCTCAGACACAGCGGATCACCTATCCACGGAAAGATGTCCAATCACAGCTGATCACATGTAAACAGGGAAATGCCGATTATCGGCATTTCTCTCCTCTCGAGCTGTCACGCTGACAGCTCTAGAGGAGAGGAGAGCCGGTAATCGGCATTCCGCGGAGGGGATATGTACACTGATCATCAGGGCACTGATGATCAGTGTGCCCTGATGATTAGTGTTGCCCCAGAAGTGCCACCTGTCAGTGTCCATCAGTGACAGCTGTCAGTGCTGAACAGCGCCACATGCCAGTGCCCATCAGTGCCACATCAATGCCACATATCAGTGCCTACCAGTGCACATCAATGCCACATATCAGTGCCCATCTGAGCTGCCCTTCAGTGTCACCCATCGGTGCCAGTCAGTGCCACCTATCAATGCCAATCAGTGCCACCTATCAGTGCTGCCAATCAGTGCCACCTATCAGCGCCAGTCAGTGCCGCCTATCAGTACCAGTCAGTGCCGCCTATCAATGCGCATCAGTGCCACTTATCAGTGCCAGTCAGTGCCACCTAACAGTGCCCGTCAATGCTGCCTATCAGTGCCAGTCAGTGCTGCCTGTCAGTGCCATATATCAGTGCTGCCTTTCAGTGCCCATCAGTGATGCCTGTCAATGCCCATCAGTGCCACCTACCAGTGCCTCCTCCTCAGTGCCCATCAGTGCCACCTATCAGTGTCCATCAGTGCATCTTATCAGTGCCCATCACTACAGCCTCATTAGCGCACATCAGTGAAGGAGAAAAATCACTTATTACAAAATGTTATAACAAAAACTAAGAAAAAAAATTTTTTTTTCAAAATTTTGTTTGGTTTTTGGTTTGTTTAAGAAAAAATAAAAAACCCAGAGGTGATTAAATACCACCAAAATAAAGCTCTATCTGTCACAAAAAAAATTATAAAAATTTCATATGGGTACAGTGTTGCATGACCGCGCAATTGTCATTCAAAATGTGACAGCGCTGAGAGCTGGAAATTGGCCTGGGCAGGAAGGGGGTATAAGTGCCCTGTAGGTAAGCGGTTAACCACTTGCCCTCCAGAGGATTTACCCCCTTCCTGATCAGGCCATTTTTTGCGTTACGACGCTGCGTCACTTTAACTGACAATTGTGCGGTCATGGAACACTGCACCCAAATGAAATTTACATCCTTTTTTCCCCATGAATAGAGCTTTCTTTCAGTGGTATTTGATTGCCTGTGAATTTTAATTTTTTTGCGCTATAAAAAAAAGGCTGCCAATTTTGAGAAAAAAAACTATATTTTTGACTTTTTGCTTTTAAACATGTCCAGTAAAAAAATTGAAAAAATCTAATTTAATTATAAATTTAGGCCAAAATGTATTCTGCTACATTTCTTTGCTAAAACAAAAATCCCAATACGTGAAAATTAATTGGTTTACATGAAAGTTATAGCGTTTACAAATGGCGGTATACTGGAATTTTTTTTCTACTAGTAATGGCGATGATCAGTGACTTATAGCGGGACTGCGGCGGCCATTCTGACACTGGAGGGAACTGATTTGGTGTCACTGACATCTCCGGTTTAGCATGTCTTTGCTAAAAAAAAATCCCAATACCTGGAAATTAATTGGCTTATGTGAAATATTAGCGGTGTATATATATATATATATATATATATATATATATATACTGGAATTGTTTTACTAGTAATGGCAGCGATCAGCGACTTATAGTGGGACTGCGAGACTGTGGAGGCATTCTGACACTGGGGGGAACTTACTTGGTGTCACTGGCATCCCCAGTGACCCCAATACAGTGATCAGTGATAATAAAAAGCACTGACACTGTACTAATAAATGGCACTGGGCAGGAAGAGGTTAACATGTGGAGTGATCAAATATACTAATGGCACTGAGCAAAGGGGTTAATGGGGAGTGATCAAATATACTAATGTGGGCAGGAAGGGGTTAACATGTGGAGCATCAAATATACTAATGGCACTGAGCAGGAAGGGGTTAACATGTGGAGCGATCAAATATACTAATGGCACTGAGCAGGAAGGGGTTAACATGTGGAGTGATCAAATATACTAATGGCACTGGGCAGGAAGGGGTTAACATGTGGAGCGATCAAATATACTAATGGCACTGGGCAAAAGGGGTTAACATGTGGAGCGATCAAATATACTAATGGCACTGGGCAGGAAGGGGTTAACATGTGGAGCGATCAAAGGGTTAACTGTGTGCTGTTTCATAGTAAGCTGTGTCTGTGCTTTCAACTGTATGCACACCGCTTTGTATGGCTCTGCTATGCAGAGCCATACAAAGCAGTGTGCTGGAGCTGACAGGGGAGAGAAATGTATTGTTTACATACAGTTTTTTTCCCCCCATTGGTAATACTTGGCTATCAACGGGTGCCGGCGTGTAATCACCAGCTGGGACTTGGTGATTGACAGCCAAGGCTGCAAATAGCGGCACAGGTAGGGCTTGTGAGCGCCCCCTACCCGTAAGTCCAAAATCACGTATATTTACGTGTATAGGTCAAACGCAGTCTCTGAGCTGTCATCTACACTACTCATTTGAAGTCAATGGAAATCTGCTGACTTGCATTTGACTTTTGCTTCCACTATTTTTTGGCTCATTCTTAATAATATAAAATACATTTAAATTCCAATATAGGGATCCTCTGCATGGCCGTGGCAGATGAACTACAGAAAAAGACTCCTTACTACTGAACTCACTTATCAGAAATGATTCTGGTGGTTTAAATATCCAACAACTACAAAATACTGAAGTATCAGGTTTATTTTAGAGACTGATCCATCTGTATATTACATATTCTGTTAAATGCCAATAGCCAGATCCCAGAGATATTACAAAATAACACAACAATCCTGTTGGAACAGCACTTATGTGTAAAAAGCTGAACACAGTAAAGCGCTAAATATAGAGACAATATGGCACAATATATAAGCCCCTTCGAAATAAGTGATTAAAAATAGCTTCTAAGAACAAATTTGGTGCAGCATTATTGCATTGTAATAATTCAGATGATTGATGCTTTAATAAGCTATGACATTCTGTCAAAATATTAGACACAGAAAAATGTAGGTCTGTCCCTCAGGCCATTCTCATATTAATTATATTTAAGAATCACAAGAAAACGGAAAGAGTTTACATAAAATACAAGGCTTCAGTACATGAGTAAGATTACAGCATGTATTAATTAATTTATGCTCAAGAGGATCTTATACAGCAGGAACAATTATGCTGGTTTTACTCAAATGGGTAACGAATGTCAGTTTTTTTCAGCGATTGATTGGAGTTTAACTTTATAAATGAACTCTGGGCACATTAACATTAGGGTCAATAATTTAGATTACAGCACACCTGCCTTAAATTCATCATTCACTGCAAATGAAGCTGGTATTGCCCCATATACCATCAATAAAAAATGGCCTTTCCGTCTGGCAATCTTCTGATTCCCTGTTGTAGAGACTGGTCACTGCTGCTGCCTGTTTTGTTTGAATGGAGTGATGAGTCTTCTCACCTGCTCCTCTCTGCAGTACTAAACAGACAAAATCGCTATTGCGCTGATCTTCTGTCAAACCCTCAGGCTGGTAATGCAGGGAGCGAAGGGAAAGGTATTGCAGCTCTCCAGTGTTTCCACAGGGTGGCGGAGATAGATCCGGATAACAAAACAAAAAAAAAAACAGCGCACAACCGCCCTAGTGTAACTCCATTATATAATAGATAAAATCATAAAACCAATTGCATCACGTGGTACAGTTATAAAAAAGGCACTTCTGATGTAATAATCCTCCACGACTCCTTTCCAGCATCAGTAGCATAACTCATATGATGAGCTGGTTGGTAAGCAGCTCCCCTCAGTCCTGGAGCGGCCTGGCAGAGCGTACTGCCACTACTGCGCATGGATGATGAGAAGATTACCATATCAGAAGTGCCTTTTTATAACTGTACCAATGAGTGCAATTGGTTTTATGATTTTATCTATTAAATAATGGAGTTACACTAAGGCGGTTGTGCGCACTGTTTTTTTTTTGTTTTTGTTATTTCTGCAGTACTAGACTTCTTTAGGTACAGACTAGGAGTGGGAGCTGGTACAGTGGATATGAGTTTTTCCTGCCCAGCAGCCTGCTCTACATAACTCTGTTCCAGCTGCCACTCTGCTGCAGTCCTTGCCACTGGGACTTAGCAGGTTGAGAGGGAGATGTGATCATTAAAGATTTTAGCTGAAGTCTGAAGATGGGCTTTAATGCTGCTCTACTGCCATCCCAATAGTTGTACTTACTGAAAATACAACATACTTATTCTTTTATGTTATACTTGTATGCTGTATGTTACAGAAGTCCATTCTGCACGTTAAGATTGCAACCTTCTACTAATTACTCTATCATTTTAGATACAAACCTGAGAATTAAATTACTTAAATAATTACACTTTAAAGTAAACTTTACTAATCCTGCTTTGTTGTCCCCTGACACCCCATATGGAAGAAAATATATTTGAAATACATTTTAAAAATATTCTTCACAAATATATTGACAAGCCGTGATTTGTCATAATTGTGATGATTACAGCTCATGAAAACCCCAAATCCACAATCTCAGAAAATTAGAATATTACATGCAATCAATAAAACAAGGATTGTACATAGAACAATATCAGACCTCTGAAAAGTATAAGCATGCATATGTACTCAGTACTTGGTTTGGGCCCCTTTTGCAGCAATTACTGCCTCAATGCGGCGTGGCATGGAAGCTATCAGCCTGTGGCACTGCTGAGGTGTTATGGAAGACCAGGATGCTTCAATAGTGGCCTTCAGCTCTTCTGCATTGTTCGGTCTCATGTCTCTCATCTTTCTCTTGGCAATGCCCCATAGATTCTCTATGGGGTTCAGGTCAGGCGAGTGTGCTGGCCAATCAAACACAGTAATCCCACTTCTAATTTTTCGAGTTTCACCTGTATGCCCCTTGACGGTTAGGGTTATGTGAATGTACAATATATATGTAAAAATATATATGTAAAAGCGCTGCGTAAATTGACGGTGCTATACAGGTGCCTGAAATAAATATATATATATATAAAAATATATGTTGAAATATATTGAATATGGCCAAAATTGTAGTATTTCAAATATATGTCAATTTATTTGGAAAGAATATTTTTCTAAAATATTTCAAATATATTTTTCTTCCATGTGGGACACTCCCTCACCCCAGATGTATACCTATATGCTATGGCTTTGCCTGCTGCAACAATGGCAGCCTGTTGCTGAAACCATATTTCCTCTGGTTAGTGCAGCCAGAGAAAAGAGGATTTTAGCTACAGTCTGTCAACAGGCTGTAAAACTCACTAAGCTGTCAAAAGAACTATTTTTCACAATGAAACCAAAGTCTTTTAAAGTTATTGAAAAAGGGTTTTGAAAACTCGAGTCTGTAAGAAGTCCAGTAAAAATTTATTAATTTTGATAAGGTGTCAAAAAAAAATAGCAACAATGAAGATAGTTCCTACAGAACCCTGA